TTTTTGAGAAGAACTCTGGTTGTCTGCATTTCGTGGATATAGGCGCCGAAGTAAGCATACTTCCGGCTACGTCTCTCACCAGCAAGCTAGGACGCTATACCTTTACATAACCAGAAATATTTTATCTTTCCCATCTAAAGTGCGGGACGCCTTATCCATCTTTAGGAAAACATATGTAGTTTGATTATTACAAAAATACCTCCATGTACAAATCGCTAAAAGATTATTATTTGATTTCATTTCTTTTTTCAATTTTGCCCACAAAAAATTGTGAAAGCCGCATGATGTATCCCCTCTTTTTGATGTGCATATACCATATAGCGAGGTAGAATGTTTATACTCATACTATAGGACATGTTTGGGTTTCTTGTGTCTTATTATTTGCACATAACTACACTCAATCTCCTCCGCTGTTCCGTATACTGGGTAATGGTTTGAGTAAGAAGATAGCCCAGAGGACGCACGAAACAAAGTTCTCATCGAAACCGTTCAGGATGCATCAAGTTCTTTCAGGAAATATCGATTCAACCAGTATGTGCTTCCTTCGAAATATGTGAGAAGGCACTGGACAGTAAATAAACTCAAGCTCAAAAAGAAAAGCCGGCACATAAAAAGGAGTCGCGCTAAAGTGTTGAAAGACCAACCCATTACTTTCATCTGCACGAACTCGCATTTCAAACATCACGAAACTTACATCGACAAAATTGTCGTGAGACGATCAACATTTCCGCATCACGAGCACAATTTATTCTTAAAGCGGCAGTTTTAGGAAGTTCAACAGCTTCCGAAAGTGTGTTGATGGATTTTCAGACGACTCAGTACTGTCGTTTCTCGTTGCTTTTGAACGAGGAGTTGATGGCTTTAAACCTGGTCAACCTGCCTTTCAGTTACGCGTGAGCGAAATGGGACTCAGAAGCAGCAGTTTGTCTTAAATAACACCTGTGTCGCTTCCCCGGAAGTATAAAGGAGGAGAAGTTTGGACCAATTAGGCGTCCTAACCCTTCCGGAAATACAAAAAAAAAAAACACGGCAACCAACGGGTCCTGAAAAAAAAAAAAAAAAAAAAAAAAAAAAAAAAACGCTGTAGGAAGTCTTTTTTTTTTTTTACTTCAAGCAGGCACGTCAGTCGTTTAACATGTGGTATACCGATTGCTCACGGGAGAAACACACTCGTAAAATAAGACAATCAAATGCAACTGACAGATTTAAATAAATCTTCTACACTACCACGTGCCCTGGGGGTGAATTCGCTATACAAATTGTCAGGAATTAATACAGCACTTCATGAAAAACTTTAAAATGAAATTGCCCAGTCCTCCATAGAACAGTGAAGCACAAAACACGGAGCCACCGAGGACGAGGATGCAATAGTTTAAAAGAGCGAGACAAAGATTAGCCTATGTTTATTTCGAAGCTGTTTTTAATTGATGGGCCAGGTCCTAAATGCTTGTTCCTCCAAAGTTTGGGGGTTTAAAACCATAAATTTGTTATTGGTATGCGTTGAAAAAATTTGTGTAGTTTGCTTCGAGCTTTTGACTTTGGCAACATCAACAAATTAAAATTTTGTTCAACACATTTAGCGCAAAAACACATTCTTGCGCGAGTTCACTGGCCACTTTGTTAAGTCGTGTTTCTCATGCTCTCTTACAACATTTATTCCAATGAACTTGAATAAATTGCAGCGTTCACTGAACTCAACTGCGTGCCGCCACTAATTAGACTGTATAAAACTTATATGAATAGCTTATGGCAGTGCGGACCTCTGTAAGCATATCTAGTGATGCCTGCCAAAGCATTGTGATTTGTCGGTTTTGTTCTCGCAAAGGATGGACGAAGCTCCGAATACTATTATTCTATTATTATTTACACAATTCTTCAACTAAAAGGGTTCAATGAGATCATACTACTCCGACACACGACTCTCAATAAAGCAATGTTCGCAAAAAAAAATAGCGACGCCTATCATACTTGATTGATTAAAAAGTTCGGTACCTCCTTTACAAGGTTTATTTTTTTATTTTATTATGCATATCATATTTTTGTGGCGTGCTGAAGCGTGTACCGGGAACTACGGAAAAAGACGAAGGACGTGCAGACTGGACTTCACATACTTCTAACCTGGTCTAATTTTGTTATGGACGTCAACTTCTAAATTAAAAACATAACATTTAGTGTCAGAAGTGGAATTCCCAGCATTGCTCCTGACGGCCCCAATATATCATTCTACAAGCAAGGACATCGTTTCCGTCAGCGTCAGCGCCTTGTGGAGTGGTATGACCGTGACATGATTACCACCGACCACACCAGATTCCTTCGCCAAGTTCAAGTGCTGAACGTAAACGCTATCCGACAGTCACATCGGTGTCCCGCATCCCAGGTCGTGAAAGCGCTGTGCGCGCTAGGCTTGCATGGTTTTGCGACACGTTGTGGCAGTTTTGGGGTTGAAAGCATTAACCAAATGTTATGGTATCTCCTTAATTATGCAATATCGGGGCATTTCATTGTCGGTGTCAATTTTTCAAAATGCGCAAATGTGCTCTGAACTTTGGCATTGATATACTCTGGGTCGGCATAAGATTCGTTGTCTGACATGTCACCTGACACCCTGGTATTAGGACTTTGCGCATCAATCATCCAACAGCGCGAAAGTAGTAAACTTTGGTGCTGGTGGGAGACAGTGGTGTGGGCCTCAACTGTTCAAGTGATACTGAACGTTCACGTCAAGGACCTGCATGCAGCAGGGACTTATCACAAGAAACTTAAAAAAAGCGCATGTAGACTGTCTTACTCTAACCCCACAGCAATAGGGCGAGGTTTTGTATAGCATAAAAACGCTCCAATTAAAAACCTCATCCCTCCAAGAAAACGAACCTGAGAAGGAATAGTGTAGCGGCATGCTGATGCGTGTGCCGGGAAACACGGAAGAAGACAAAGGACGTGCAGACGGGACTTGACATGGACGTTATCTTGTAAATAAAAAATGTAACGATATCATACAACTCGTATAGTTAGTGTTATAGACTCTCCTGAACAACTGCCCCTTCTCCAGCGTCGCAAATGAAGGACCCAACATTTCTTATATAATTTCTTCTCAATATTTTAAGGGTAACTTGCTACAAAGTTATAGATAAAGATATCTAAGTATTAGGTGTTTCGTGGCCTATTGTACAAAAGCATCGTCTTTCTAGAGTTATTTCGCTTGTCGGAGAAAAAGTACTGGCGAACGAGTTGGAAGATGACCATTGCAGCTCGCGCGAGTACGTTACGTTGGCAGTAGAACCCCAACTAAATATTCCTCCGGGGCAGAGGTCCATCTCAACATACCGGGAAGGCATGCCTAACCACTCAGTATTCTCGGCAGGCTTCAAACAATCACCGTCACAAAACGCAGCTATTCCTCAAACGACTTCCTAAACACGGTTGGGTTATTATGGAGGTATACTACATCTTCCGGAGATGCTTACTTACGTGTTCCTTTTTTCTAATAGACGTTTTAAAATAAGTGTTATTTACTCTCGACAGCCAAGGAAACATTTTTCGTGGTTTCGCGACCTACATGTGGTATCAGTAACCTTGCGAGGGTCTTCCTCTTTGGCTTTGGGCGAAGCGAACTAAAAATGAAAACGGAGAGCGCGACAGAGTCGCCTCGCTGCGTCGAGTGAAAGTATCGACAAAAATGTAATTCCGTGAACTCCAGTGAAAGAAGTGAGTAAGTGAACGCCTGAAACACAGCACAAGGAGGAAATGTTCTATAAGTTTCCTTCCCAACTCTTCTGCGGTGAATTGCCCCTGTGCAACTGAGAGTAAAATGTCATGTTATTTTTCTTAAAACGATGTTAGGTAGTTAATGTTAGTAAATCAGTTAAAATTCATTGAACACTTATTTTGTCGATACAATAAGCTTGTTTGCATTCTCACAATAAGTTATACAAGAGTGGAACACAATTTTGTTTTAGGATAGCAGATATTGCATTTTTTTTTAATATTTATCACCTTACTTGTACCAGTGGCAAAGCTCACGATGAACACATAATAAAATTATTCAGGCTCAGGGGCAAAAAAAAACAACATTTGTTTCATATCACTTTTTCTTGGGGGGGGGGGGGGGGTGAAACATTGTTTTGCGTTCGAACATTGTTTCAAAATCGCAAGTCATATTTTGGGTCATAATTATTTGTTTCACAAAAGTCTCCAGATTTTTGTTTAAGTTCGAAAGGTTAAATTGCAGGAGCAAGTGCTTGCAAGAGCACACACATTTCTTAAGTATGTTTTTGTGAACCTGTGATTGTGACGTTTTTGAGCAGGACTGCAAAAGGCTTTTGAAGAAAAAGACGGAAACATATATCAAAAGTGACGTTTGAACGTTACCTGTATTGAAGCAGGGCAAAGCCTACCACGGGTTGAGTAGAGGCGCTCAATATAATTGCCTTCTTTTTTTTTAATATGCATAAGATTGTTTTTTCAAAAATAATCTCTAAATTTTTTTTACTCATAAAAGCACTTTTATTCACCCAACTCACTAGCACCCTTGTGAGCTGTCCACTTTCTTGTTTTTAAGTCTAGGGTTTGCAAGATGCTGAAAGTTCACCAGCTCGCCAGCATCTTCTTGGTTATTTCTGAAACGATATTATTTATAAAAAAAGATATTTAAAAGTTTATGCTATGTTAAAATAATTTACGCAAGGTTAGGATACGTTAATACACGGTTCTTTGAGTAAAAAAAAGGGAATCGAGTAACTAACACAAAATTGCGAATCTGCGCCGTACCTGCAGTCATTCCGAAATCTCTCATGGATGGCGGCCTTCATAGCTAAATGTAAATCTTCGATAGTTTTCTGTCGTCCCAGACTGCTAAGAGTTACGAGTACCCTGACGCATGACCTGCAACTCTGCCTATACATTCATTCAGCCACTCATTTTCTTTCCTTCTTCGGTGAATATTAAACATTTCGCAATATTTAATAGCAGCTACTAGGTCCCCAGTCGTCCCGTCTTCAACCAAGAATCAAATCGTAAAGTAAAGCCACGCCACCACGGGATGTGAAATCAGCAAAGAAGCATCATGTCGCCATGTCGTCATAGCGCGAACCCAGAACGACGACACGAGTCTCTCTGACGACAGCTGAGGTGTCACGGTCGCCAGGCCGGACACGTCCCAAACTTTGCAAAACGTTCACTCGAGCCGCGTCAAATTTCCGAATTGGAGCGCCATGCTCGCCCGGACCACCCTCGCAAGCTTTAGGACACGCGGCAGCCATGGGAATGCAAATAGCTGGAATGTCGCGAAAACGGTGACGCCCCGCCGTATAAAAAGCACTCGGCGACGTCGGCATACCGACAGTTTTTCTCGTCTCTAGCGATCGAGAGCTCGTGACAAGTAGGATGAAGGCCACAGCGGTGAGTTGGCTTTCCCAAGACTAGGCGCACGCAAGCGCCTCTTCCGCGTTCGCGTCTTCGGATATAGAAAGGTGATAGTGTTGCAAGATCATTCTCGATTCGCAACTGTTTCGTGTCATCGTGTGGCTGCGATGTGCGCACGCAGCCCTTTTGAGAACTCTTTTACTTTTGGGTTTTAGGCATTATCAGGACTTTGATCGCTTTTATGGGGTACGTAACAGGCACAAAGAACTCATTTCAGGTTTTTTAAATATAGTAAAGCATCTCTTTTCACCCTCACAACTAGGAGTGGTGGAGTGGTTAACAACCCGTATTATGGTTTCAGGTAATGTCTTATGGTAAGTAGAGGTATTAAACGAAGCAAGAAAGTCGGTGAAAGTTTTATGACAGAAGAAAAAGAAAATCTTTTAGAGAATTTTCGTGAAAATTGTTAAATTTTCACAAAATGTTCTCAAATTTCGTGAAAATTCGCTTTTACTATATGATAAAACCGACTGTGCATTTTTGGGTGTACTTGAACATGCTTTTTGTAAGACTATGTTTTGCTTTTCAACCACAAGCAGTCCTATTAGGCTGAACATGTATTCAAGCCCACCACAAGCAGAACATAGGCTTGTTGGTAACATTCGTAGGTCGATATTTGGCGTCATTCGCAGTTTGCGGCTGAGAATTGGAACACCTGCAAATTTTTGTACTCGTGTGCTTGCTTCTTTTTTCTTTTTTTTTTGGGGGGGGGGTTGAGGAGGTGGGGGTTAGGGGGGGGAGGGGAATTCTGGTTACTTCAGCAAAATATTTGTGACACCGCAAAACAAATGTAAAATTTAAATCGTACTTTGTTTCTTTAAGTCTATGAATATAGGAATTTGCAATGAAGAAGTAATCTGACGAAAATATGTTTTCTCCAGCTTAGTGGTGTCATGCTTTATCGAAGAAATGCTGCTAAATTAATAAATGTAAAATTGTTTAGATTTGCAAACGGGTGTACGACTAGATCAACGACTTTTCTAGTATATTGTATTGCGTCAAGCGCCTCCGCGTTCAATGTGGAACAATTCACTACGTCAAAAGTGCGAAGTAAGACCTTAGAAGCTACTCATTACCGTTAAGAGTAAATAGCATACGTGATAGCAGAAATCTACACCTAGTCTTTAAATAAACCGATTTCTTCGGTATGTCAGCTTTTCGCTAAATTAATAACTGATTAATAAATTAAACCGAGAAGCCGTTTATACGGCCAACGAGTTATCATTTGGACCTATATATTAGCTGCCCTTTTTTATAAACGTGGGTAAAGTTGCAGGAAATGTGCTTCTGAGTACACGAACGAACGCACTCATGCCTGACCTAATACAAACACCCTACTTATAAATCTTTGGACGTACGCAGAAGTCCAAAGATTTATAAGTATGAGCGACTTATGTATGAGTCCTTCACGGCTGGACGCTCAGTTTTACGCTGAATCAAAGATTCCATGCTTCCAATTGAATGTTGAAGTACGCAACATATTGACAGCCCTAATTGCATACTCAGCTTGAAATTAATTTATTATGTTCTTCAGGCTCAGCGAAGGTCGACATTGTTTTACAAGCTCCCGGGAAGTATGCAGGTAATAAAGGCCTGGTAAATATATCCCACGACTACTTCAGCTCCTAGTCTATGATCTTCGGAGTAATGCAGTTGACGCGTTTTAAAACTTCTAGTGGCCGCGCGTTTCCAATAGCAGTAAGCTCATTAGCTTCATTCAGATTGTTGTACCGCTTTTCCCGCGTCACCATAAGCTGGTTGCGCTTCCCTTGAGAACAGTTATTGGTGTTTTCGGTGGGTAGCATCTATTTAAAACTGACTCACAATTTTATCTTTTAGGTAGGAAGCAAAATAGCCAAATGAGTTATCAAGACAAAGGAAGCCTCACCGGTAACAATGCAACCAGAAAAAGAAAGAATACTTAAGTGGCTGATAACAGGTTTTTCTGTTTAGTCACATGGCGAGAAAGGAAGAGGAATTGATACAAAATAAAAAGAAGCAAATAAAAGCAAAGAGCTAACAGTAGTAGAAACGGGAAAGCTGTCGCCGTCGAAATAGCGAATCGGCGCTCCCGCGATGGCGAAACGGTAACACGGAACGGCAACCTAGATCCAACGAAGCATGTGGGCATCCACATTGCAACCTTCTGAAACACTGACCCCAGGGAGCTTCCCGCCGCAGCTAGCGAAAGGGAACCAACATGTTGCGTACAGCCACGTGACAATGGGACTTGTGCAACAATGAACGCCCTCTGACCGGGACGGTATCGCCATCGGCGAAACAAACCAATTGTACGACGGTCTTCGTTAGATCGATCGACTCTCCATAGGTTGTGTCTGTATGTATCGTGTCGAAATGTTGTGCCCGCAAAAAGAGGCATGACGACGCGCGGAAACCAGAATGGAGGAGAGAACAAAGCTCAATCCGAAGCATTTACAGAACCGCCCACTCTAACGTATAATATCTTGCGAGGCAAACGAACCAGTAACACATCTTAATCTAGACCCTCAGTCTAGAAGGAATAAACTAACGGAAAAAGCGACACAAAACAATTTATCCATCCTAGTCTCCTGGCTTAATCTGTCTGCGTCATTGTGTCTGTCATTGTGGCCTGAGGCAAGCTTCTGTACTCAAAATATCTCTACCCGTGCATCTTCTTGTTCTGTGATAGTTCACGTGTCACCCTAAACATTCAAGGTAATCGCTTATTTTGAAAACTGAATTACGCAAAACCACGCCTCAAACTTTATTATGGGAAATACAATGCAAGGTTGATCGAACTGTTAAAGGGAAACTAAAGCGATTCTGTATTTGAGTAGGAACACTGAAAACGTCTTCATTTTGCCTCCAGGATCACAAATGCGTCGTCTCACATCACGTGTGGATACAATGTGTTCATTGCAAATTAAAGTCTAATTGTAAACAAAAGAAAACACCAAAAAGAGTATACCTATATCTTTATTTCGATGAAGCGAGTGGTGAAGCTTCAAGGCCCTCGACAAAAACTGATAAACCTTCTCGCGTTAAGGTCCCGTGAATGCTACAGAAACCTGATAAAAGGGCTGGATTATGAGCAAATTTCCTACAGCTTCTGATATGTCACTCGTTGCTGAGTGTTTGGGATGAGGGATATTGGATCGGAAGAATTAAGAATAGAGCTACAAAATTGGCGCGTATAGGGAGTATTCATTGGCTGCCACACCTGTGTGCGCGGTTGCTGATCGAGTGCTGACGGCGAGCTTTCGCAGTTCGTTTGCAACATGCAATGTGCACCATCAAGATTTCCGGCCTTACCGGACTATATTGTGAGCACCTCCTGAGCATGCGCTCTAAACATCGCCCTCAAATATGGCATCCAGTGAATACCCCCTATACGAGGAAGCGGCTGGCAAGATATTTGTGGAAGGGTTACAAGTTACGACTTGTATCCCCGTCGCAGTCCGCATCTAGAAGCTGTATTTGTTTTCTCTAACCCGGACAAATTTATTCTGCATTATAGAAGGCTGACTGTTTCTCGCGTTCAGCTGTCTATTTTAACGCTTTTCGAACGGAGCACCAAACGCAGTACCGAAAGCTACTGGAGCTGCTTCTTTAAATATCCCACGTATCCTTTCGCGGTCAGTGGCCGACACCAGGCAGACTCGTTTCTCTATCCTGAAGAGAAAACCCTGACCTTCCCTAAGCACTTCAGTATAAATATCGTTGGGCGGAAATGTGGTTAAGGTTCAGAGACATAGTTATTATCCACTGATATCTAGGCCTGCGCGGGTTCGTAAGTATGGGTGCCGTTCTACTGGCATTCAATCATTCGTGAGACGTGAGGGTCAGAGAAAATCATCGAGGTCACTAGACGTCTGATCGATATTTCTGTTACCAAAAAAGATCGCTCGCGCGAAACGAGGTGATGAAGCATGCGACGACGCGGCGCCGCCAAACAATAATCCCAACTGCGCCGACGACGGTTCAATGCAGGTAATCCTGATGTCAACGCTGGCCACGGCCCTAGCTGGAAGCGTGCGCAGCAACCAAGACTGGGCCGTCTCGGGTGAGGACATCAGCATGACGACGGTTCTTGCTCCGACAAAATCAATATTACGTACCGTCCACAGCGGGTCGCATGGAGACACTTCTTTTCTCCGGGATGACAGCTTACTAACGAGCGAGTAGCCCCGGCATCCAAACAAGTCGATCTGGATACGTCCGACGGACGAGCGGCGAGAAGAGTTACTTCCCGCTTCACATTGTTTAATGGAGCCAGCCCGACTATAAATAGCTGTTTGAGCGGGGGACGCCCGGGTGCCGGCAAATTGCTGAGTAATCCTAATTGTGTCCGGTGTGTTGGGGTCAAGCACGGGATCATGTACGGGACGGCCCAGTAAGATAAGAGAAGTGGCGACCAAACGTCGTTGCGTCGAAATTATGTGAGCGGAGAACAAAAGGGGGACAATGGAACAGAGGCTGCTTGGTACAGAGTTTTGTAAGGCCCGAGTCCCACTAGAGTGATAAACAAGAACAACCGACACGGAGAATCCTCCAACACATGCAGCATGCTCGCATGGTACCTTTGTCTGGCGTTTAGTCGTTCGGTGCTCGTGAAGTAAGCACGAGTGATTGCAAGCCTGCCAAAGATACCCTCGCGTGTATGATGCTCGTGTTTGACCATAGACTCCGTTATACTGCAAAGTCTGTCAAATGGCGAAAGAATATAATCTGAGGCTCGTCGCTGTCGGTTGGTTCTCTTTGTCGCTCTAGTGGGACCCGAGCATAAGAGCGTCAGAACTGAGGGTTCTGTCTGCCAGAATTATCTGCTTGACAGAGTATGCAGAGAGATGTGCACCCACCCTGGGTTGTTTCAAATTAACGAGTTCGCATAATGGCGCGGAAGAGTCGGAATTCTTAAAGCTAAGCAACAAGATGAACACGCATTGAATCATACCGCAATTTGTGATGTGTAATACGTCCAATTTTTTGCATTTCTGTTTGCAGGGAAGGGGGTGAGGGAGACTACCCATAAGTTTTTTTTTTACTCACTAATTGTAACTAGGGAGTCTTTCATCATCTAGAATACTAAATATTTGTTTCACATTTCTTAATACATATTTGACAATTTTGATCATAGTGTTATATTTCAGGCGCGGAATAATATTAAGAAATTCAGACCCGCCAACCAAAGAAAACATTGAATATTTATTTTCCTGTGACCGCTAATGACAAGCTGTATAAACCGGTTTTTCATTAAATTATTTTGGATTACCTAATCTTAGCAACCCCCGTCCTCGCTTTATCTGAATTCTTGATTGTAATGATCTGATATAACAACCCTAATGCTTACTCGTTTCTTTAGACATAATATGCATTGGTGTTCATAACCAATTGTTTAAGTTAGTGGCAATATCTGTTACGTGCATAGCTCTAAACTGAATGCGTTCTTTTCTCTGAACACCATCCTCTTTGAGGCATAGGGCATGCGGATTCTCTAAGTAAATAAATATTAAATTAGATGGAAAGTCGTACTAACATACTGTTATTTTGTTTTCATTAATAATACAATAAAAATTGATCAATGACCATGAAAACACTGATTATTTTTTTCGCAGAGCGACAAGGTCACCAGGCGGGACCCAGTGAAGCTCGGCAACGAGTTTACGTTGTTAGGAAGTCACTTCCCTCTAACCAAGTACCTGCGGCTACTCAACAGCTATCAGGCTCTGCAGCCAGTGGATGGTCGAGCAGCTTTCCCGCCAGCACCCGTCCGCTCAATGGTCATAGTCAGTTCTACGCATCCGGGTCCTCATCCTCCAGAACCAACGAGCCCCTGAAAAACTCTGAGCCTCAATGGAAGAACCCAGGAACGAGCTCAGATTGGCCGTCCAACTTTCCAGCGGAGCAGACCAGTCCCGCCAGAGAAGCTGCACAAGCCATTCGTGGCAATAACGGCAATGGGTATCGAAAGCAGAGTTATTTGGCTCCGTCCAGTACTGCGGATGGCGAATGGAAACTGCAGGTTAATAAGCAGCCGAAGCAAGCATACAGTTCAGACACCGGTTCGTCAGCGCCTTCTCGCCAAGATTATTCTAATAACAAAGGTGGCTGGCAAGTTAAAAACAGCGAATCTGGACAGGCTATGACTGCGGGCGGACATGAGCACGTCTTTACCATCAAGACGGTCAATCTGGACAGTCATTCCTCACCTCATGGGGACCATGCGTTCTTCTCCGGGGCAGGCCCTATGCACAGTTCCTTTGGGGCTCCAATGACGGAAAAGCAGATCTACATTATCAAGACCCTCGGTCCCGACCACTTTATGGGTATCCAGATGAACCAGGCTTGGCCATCCGACTGGGACGTGAACTATGCTGCCCAATTTGAAGCTCAGATGGGAGGTGGATGGGTCCCCCCCTCGACAAGTAGCAAGAAGCAAGTCTACTTCATTCGATCGCTGCCAAGTACCATGATGCAGCAGCTTCCCTTCGGCTGGCCAGCTGGAGTCCGAAGACCCTACAACAAGCATTCGTGGCATTAGATCGATTGCACAGCGTTTTCTAATTTGCTCTCTCAACCCAAAGACGTTTCCTCACTACATTACAAAGGAACGGATTAGAGTGTCGGTTTCAGCCTAGGAACGACCAAACACAGGCAGGGGCCCTGATCTACACGGCGGGGCCAAGCGGGACTGAGGAATCGGGACACCACCAGCTGCTGTGAATGGCCAGCTCCGCACCGCCGACCAATCAGAGCCGGCGGCGATGTCCCGATTCCTTAGTCCTGCTTGGTCCCGCCGTGCAGATCAGGGCCCCAGGATGTCTTTGTGTCGCCTTTTGTCTTACGTGTTTAGTCTTTTATTTGTTTCTTGACTGCCTCCAATAGGATTGCCAACTCACAATGAGATATCTTCTTTTTGTTTTCATCGTTTCTCACACTGCCCGTGACGGGCTCAGCTTGCATCGTTTTTGTGATGAATGACTAGGTAGGTATACTGCGGCCGGTACTTTCTTCCAGCTGGACGCTGCATACATAGCTAATTATTTCTTTAACAACTGACAGCTTCACAAGAAAATACCACTTTTAGGTGAAACCCCCCTCTCGAGTTTGACTCTTCTACCCTTTGCCCAATATATTGATTAAAAAACAAAGCTTATGAGCGCGGAAGAGCAACTCGGAAGTGTGAAATGACACGCAAGGTGACACACCATGTGTTTTGTGAGCTGTCTGTAACCCCACATGTAAACAGTCGGAAAGGAACGGAGCAAACGAGATCAGTCACGAAGGCCACAGCCATTATCTTCACTGTCATCGGTATACCGTCCGGGCACTAAATTTAATTGTTTTGTTTTTATTCGACGTACGGTTTAAATTCGCACTGTGTGCACAATGTGCGTAGTCCACGGAAAACATCACACCCCACCCACTGCGAATGCCTCAAAGCAAATCCGTTGATTATTGGCCGAACTACAGGAAGTAATAAAACCATTTTCCGAAGTCGTACTGTGAATCCTATGGTTGTTTGACTAACCTACCTACCCTCCGAAGCAGAGAACCTCTGGATATGAGCGAAAAAGGCTCCGTGTCTACGCGTCAGGATTATAACACGAAGGAATATGAGAGAAGCCGGATGTGTGGCGTCTTGCTTGAGTGTGCAAGGGTTTGCTCGGTTCACTTTCAGTGGCGACGATTCCAATCTCGGAACTTTCACGTGTTTTTGCCATTTGGGTTAACTCTGCTTAAGTGAGGGGACCGTGTCGTGGAGCTCGGCATAGAAACGGGAAACCAGAGAGCACTCACCGATCGTGCATTTTGAGGGCCACGGACTGGGAAGTCGGACGGCGGTTTCTGCTGCTGTCGTGAATATTTGATTCGGAAAGAAAGTGGCATGGGACTACACACGAATAAGGAATTACGCGAGAGGGGGAAAGAAAACGCGATATGAACGGAGCCTAAAGGCCTTTTGTTTTTAACGTCGGCGCCGCAAAGTTTAAAGAAATAATAACGAAAATATATAGACGTTTCGTAACCGCAGACAAAAATACATAGAAAAATCCAGCGAACTATTATCATTACGAAAAACCCGAGAGCGCGTGCACTTATTTTCATAAATTCCTGTAAAATATATAAAAAGGGACATTCAAAATAAATACGGGTGCACAGGAAGAAGTGTACACATATGGCCATTTTATAAAAGCCAGATTACTTTCATCTATATAAACCCTTTAATAGGATTCCCGCAAATATACTGAAAAAAATTAAAGGTAATTAATTACCTAAGATTTTTTTCTAAATTATTTATAAGTTTAAATTACCCTCCATTACCTCCGCCGCCCCTGCCCCCATCTCGAAAGAAATTTGCACCCGTGAAACTTGAGAATAAATTGAGTAGATCCCGTTCGTGTAGAATGGAAGAGTGGAACACGGGAGCCTATATGCTGAGGGCAGGGCCAGGCAAAATTATGCGGGTCGACGGGCGATTCAGGTTACTTTAAATAAACACGCTCCATCAACTTGATTGTAGCTTCCTTTATATGAAAATTGTTTTCATTAGGATAATTTGACCTACGCACCCGTTGTGCACAGTATATGCTTGCGTTGTGCCATCCTTCGGTTGGCTGCATAGTGAAAAAGAATAAGAACAACTTCTGCCTCTTCACGAGCAGCATCTTGCGGAAGTTACCGACACTCTAATCATAATGGATGCTCTTGGATGAAGCTGTACATCCTTTCAAAATGCCACGTGAGGAGACGTACATTTTGAACCTCTCTTTTTATTGCGTTTCGTTCAATTACTCGCAAGTCTTTCTCAATCAAGACTGGATACCATCGATGAGAAGATTATACAGAGTTGCAAGTTTTCATTTGAAGTAATATAGGTTATCTTGGCATCGATCCCTCAATGCCTGACCTACTCACGATGAGATCCCCGGAAATATCTAAATTAAGCAGTCAAGACGGGCACGTTTTAGTATTACGGCGGGGTGAGTGTTCCAAAATGCGTCTTTTGGCGCAACGGAGCGCAAGGACGGACACGTCAATTGAAGGGTGACGGAGGGAACGCGCGATTACGGCGCAGCCGAGCGCGCGCTGTCATGGGACGAGGTCGGGGGCGAACAAAAGAGATGGGTGCCTTTTGCGAGTAAACAAACGCACGAGGTGCGCAAGGAACGGACGAACTTGCACTCTTTTATATATACGTATTATGCTCACGTTGTATGGGTCCCTCCCAAGACTGCTTCTCGTCAGCTTGTTTAAGCAATATTGACGGAAGGCTCTGACAAAAGTCCGTCAATGATTCTGTCAACGATGGCGAGTAATAAACCGACTGTCAGCAGTTGAGGGTGCTTTGAACACTGAAACATGGGGCAACTATGCAGCGGCGACATACGAGCCAGGAGTTTGCGCGCGTGACAAGCTAGACAGCCGCCACAACGCGCACGGTGACAAAACATCGCCCGACGGTCGAAAGTTTTCTCCCCTCCCCGTCGTAATCCTTAAAGAGAAGCTGTTGGTAATCGCACGCCTAATACAAATATTGTCCTCAATGCACCAATTCAATGATACGAGATTCTATAAGTGATAATTACTGCAATTGAAGTTAGAGGAGCTACTAGGTTGGGGAGGGGGAGAGGAGTGCTTACGGAAAGTTTCAAGACTCGACAGAACGCAGGCGACTCAGAAAATATTATAATCTGAACCATGCAGAAGAACGGCTTACGGAGAGGCTTTCTATGGACGCGCTTAAAAAGTTATAACGCATGAATATGGTTAGTTCATTTGCCAGTATGTACTCAGTGTCTCCAACAAAATTTGTGTAGTACGTGAAGCCAAGCAGATTAGACATTTTATTACCTGGGTAACAAGTTCCCGTTGGCTGTAAAATATTGGGTGTAAAAGGAATGAGACAGGGGAGAGAAATATCCGATGAAAGTCTTCCGATCCCCTTCGAACGCCTTGGGTTTACGCTCCTGATCACTGAGGATATTGCAATGGACGGTGTTTTGTTCCAGCTCACGGGTGTGGCAGTTTTTCTCCGGTCTCGTCAAACATATCTTGAAAGTTGCTTCGGGACACGTTATAGAATGTCAACCCATTACTTCAAACCATCAAAAATAGTCATGAAGATAATAGCCAGGCTGTTTTTTTTTTGTGTCTATACATTTAAAATACCACTTCCATGCGTTGCAATTTTTTTATTGGACAGAAATTCACAAAATTAATGTATTTTGAATTGTTGACAACAGATTTCTTCAATTTTCTGTCTATGCTCGTTTTTTTTTAATTATTTTACACGTAGTATATTCGGAATTGAGCAGTTACGGAGAGAAGAAAAATCTTAATTGCAAAATAGTTCACTACCAAGGTTTTAGAGATGTGAAAACGAAATATCGTCAGAAAGCACGAGAAATTACATATTACCTCTTAATTTTACAACGGGAGCACGGCCTCAACTTCTGTTTCGACATTAGAGGGGTAAAATGTATTTAATAGTTCTACGGAAAACAATAAAAAATAAATCAACAGTTTCAACAAGCTTGCCTACAACAAAAATATAATGTCTTCAGTTAGGCAGTAATGTTTTCAGAAACACTGGCTTTGCTAAGGCAGAGGCAGAGTTTTGCTGCGGAAAGCAACGTCAAAATAACCGCATTTCGAGTACTTTTTAATTTTATTGTCATAGTTCAAAAATAATTCAAAATCCAGTAAGCCTCCCCCCCTCCCCCCCCCCCCCCCCCCTTTTCACTTCTCCTGGCATCCTTCTGAAAATATTTATCAATCAAATAGAGCACACCCTTATGCTTCAAAATTAGTTCACTTAGAAGACTGAAACACTTCGAAACTAGTGTATTTAAATGTCTAACGAGGCAAACAAAGAGTCAATAATGCTTCTAGGCGCAATTGAACATATTAACATCAAATTACGTGTGCACTATTCTATGATTACTATTTGATTGCTAACTCATCACAGGCACACATGATACCTAAGAGTACCAGGGCATTCTGAGATGTATTATTTAGAATCGATAGATTGCTTCCGTCGAATGCACGCATGTTGAATGAATGGATCCCGAGACTTTGATCACCATAGAGCTAGGGCCACCCTAATCGTCGCATCTGTGACGAATCCTTAACAACTCACATCTAACAGCCGATCGCCCAGTTCACACAAAACACACACCATCGTAGGAAACGACGGCTTCCTTTGTATCACGCTCGCCTGTGTACTGGAGCACGGATCGCGAACTTGGCGCTGTTCGTCTTCGGCTCATTACTCCGAAACCCAATCCGCCTCTGACGCGCGTGGAGCATCCTTACTTCCGGACCCCCTTAAAACGAAGCGATCCGAGCGTCCGGCCGCATATCCATAATCAAACTCGCAGCAGGCCTTCTTCCGCCTAGAGGTCAGCCAGCTAATACGAGTCTCATAACGAACGCCGGAGGAAGAGGCGAAGCACGGGGGCCATCCGAAAAAGCCACCTATGGCCCGGGCGTCCGAGCCACCAGGCAAGGGCCCCTCTCCAGGCCCTGCGGAAGAGGGAAGGAAGGAAGTCCAGCAGCGATGAGTGGAAGCAGGCCGGACCCGCTCTTCGACTCTTCGTCCATCCTCGGCCACCGGAGGTCTATTCTGAGAAGGACCATTGCGGGCGAAAGTGGAACGCCAAGTGGCCAACCTCCTCCGAGCTCGGCGGCAGTCGAGGGAGACACGGAGGAGGGCAGGGGGTCAGTCGCGGGTGACCCCTTGTCACTCTCTTCCTCGCATTGTGGCACGGGAAAAGGCGTGGAGTGTAGCGGCCATGGGAGAGGGCGCCGAGGGAACCTGAAATAGCGCTCCAGTGATGGCGTTTTCGCAGTCTTGCCACAGTATTCCTCCTTGCCGACTCGGATGGGTATAAGTACGCCGCTGGTAGAGCACTGACTCAACACGTTCCTTCGCCTCCTGTGACTCGAGTTACCGGTGAACGAAGGCGACAAGCAGCGATCCGAAAGCGAGAGTTGAAGTTACGCCGACCAGCATGCGTTCCTTGGTGAGTCCTCCCGGTGCTTCTCCGCGCTTCTTGTCCAGGGCACGGTGCCCGTCGGCAGTCGCTCTCTTGCAACACGGACCCTGACACTCCCTGCTGCAAGTGTGCAACTGCTGAAGGTATCCTTGTAGGCAGTCTTAGGCTAACTCGTGTACACAGTCGCTTCTGTATTCTCACCTGTTTTTGCGGGAATTTGATATTCCAGGACGCTATCGTGCGCGTTAACTGGCGAGAGTATCTTGCTGCCAATGCATCGAGCTCTTTTCGTCCGTTTTTAATGCCCTTCTAGATAGGACTGTGTTAGAATCGTCAAGCTCACAAAAAAATTGGTCATCGGAAGAAGTGCTTGACTTAAAAATATTCATTGCGTTCTTCCTTCATTGTAAATAACAATTGGAATGTGACGTGAATTGCTTAAAATCATGTATATTATCTTAAAGAAACCAAATGCTTAGAATCGCAGCAATACTAAGTAATTGCAAAAAGTTCATTGCTTCTCCTTAACTGTGAACCATGCGAGCAGTCCCGTTTATCTTGAGGAAGGCCTTACTGCCACCGTTTTACCCTTGCTCATAGTAAAGGAGGGAGCGGCCGCGAGGTCACTCGGTGAGGGGGATTACTACCGGATTCCGCGCAAGGATATTTACATTGAGTTCAGACACGCGTAACGTAACACGTCACTGCTGAGCAGAGACTCTTCTTTTTACTTTTCGACTTTTTAGCTTTTGCTGGAATGTAACATCAAACGCTCTCAGTGTCTGATGAAAGAGACTAGCTTGAGGTAAAGTTGGTCTAACGGCAAAGGTAGAGGCGGCCACAACTGTGTCAGGATGCAGCCAAGCAATAACCAGATTTATAATATCACAAAAAGTGTTACTTCTCATGCGTGTATAGGTCTTGCTTCTTACATATTTCGAGTTTTCACACTTCAGCTATTGTCTTTCTTTTTTGCCAGTCCATTCGTTTATCTCCGTACGTCGTGCAGCATCATTAGGTTTAGCGTATACTGTATTGAAATAAACTATATACAATATGATAGCTTCTCAAGATTGTCAACTTTAAGCCTGGGCTTGCTTTGTGTCAACCGGGCATGTTACCAGTTATGGTCTCTTGTTCAGCGTTCGAGGGTAGATGTACCTATCTTCTGGACAACGACTAGGATTCCACTTTGTGCAGCGTATCGGTATGTTCTCGGTTCTCTCAGGTTGTGGTAGCCACCCTGGTTGGGATGGCATTAGCCGGAAACCTTGGTGGCGGCGGTGGCGGCGGTTGGCAAGGTGGTGGTGGCGGAGGCGGCTGGCAAGTCGGAGGTGGCGGCGGGGGTGGCTGGCAAGGCGGCGGTGGTGGTGGCTGGCAAGGTGGCGGCGGTGGAGGTGGTGGAGGTGAGATAATGTATAAAACAAATATTTCATTCAAGAAATTTTATCTTATGTATTACCGAACCAGGGACAATGTTGTTGTCAAGTATTTTTTTCGAATACTTTTCACAAGTGTTGCAGGTACGATACATACTTTCTTAAACAAAACAAAAAAAACAAAAACAAAAAATACATAGGAGAACAAACCAGAAACACCTAGTCACGACTCGTGTGCCGAGATTAAAGCTATCGGAAACTTCTATATACTGTAAAACCCCTAATATTCACGAGCCCCTAATTTTTCACGAATTTCGCTACTTCTAAAAATCGCAAACTTTAGTGGGTGCGAATATTTCTATTATTTGTAGGAACAAATTCCAGCCTTTAGAATTCGCGAAATTTAATGGTCGCGAATATGATTCCGGTGCCCAATTCGCGAAAAATCGGGGCAGCGAAAATAAAGGGCTCTACAGGAGTTTGCGTTTTCAACTTTTTAAATCAAACGAACAAGCTTGTAGCGGCCAACCTTATAAAGTCCCCGGGGTGTCTGCTTTGCTGTACCGCAGCGTATACGTCAATGTTTCGCTGGTTTCCTCTTTGCGTGTATGCTGCTTACATTCGACGCTTTTTGATGCAGGCGGAGGGAAGCACGTCTACATCATCCGCAAAGTCAGTGGAGGTGGCGGCGGAGGCGGCGGCGGCGGCGGTGGCGGCTGGCAGCCAGCCGGCGGCGGTTGGATGCTTGGCGGTGGCGGCGGCGGCGGTGGTTGGAACCTCGGCGGTGGCGGTGGAGGTGGTTGGCAAGGCGGCGGCGGCGGCGGCGGATGGCAAGCCGGAGGCGGAGGCGGCGGATGGCAAGCCGGAGGCGGCGGCGGTGGATGGCAAGCCGGAGGCGGCGGCGGTGGATGGCAAGCCGGAGGAGGCGGTGGCGGATGGCAGGCCGGAGGCGGCGGAGGTGGTGGCGGTGGAGGAAAGCATGTCTACGTCGTGCGCACCACCAGCAAATTCGGAGGCGGTGGCGGAGGAGGCCATGGCGGCGGCGGCGGCGGCTACGGCGGGGGTGGCTTCGGCGGAGGTGGCTTCGGCGGTGGAGGCCACGGAGGTGGCGGAGGCGGCGGTGGCAAGCATGTGTTCCTGGTTAAGACGACAACGACCTCCACCGGTGGTGGCGGAGGTGGACATGGCGGCGGAGGCGGTGGATGGCAAGCCGGCGGAGGTGGAGGTGGATGGCAAGCGGGTGGAGGCGGCGGAGGCTGGCAGGCCGGAGGTGGTGGAGGCGGCGGAGGGTGGTGGTGAAGCGCTAGTCGTTAGCTTCCCCTCAACCCATTGCGCTTGGCTAAAGTCTCTACTTTTTGTGTAAGTGAAATTTAATGAACGTAACACGTATTCTGCGAGGACAATTAGTGTCATCACTCCTCTGGAATCTGGTTGAATATTTCGAATAATAAGTAGCCAAAACCAAAAAAAAAAAAAATTAGCTGTAGTCTTAATGAAATTGTTTCTAAACTTTACTTGGATTTCGTTATTAAAACATTGATAAAATAGTTGAAAAGCTTACTTGACGATATTCTTATGGCATCAGATTTAATACTTTCCTGGTTTCTGAACTATGAACGTGACATTTTAATATTAAAGTACCAACAACGTGTTCTTAACGTCGGACGCTGTTTCTCAAGATAATTTCTTACACTACTTTTTTTTAGACGACAACTAAGACCAACGCCTGCCGCACCCTGGTGCCCATGCCCAAGACCAAAGCACCTCATCACACTGCGAAAAAGGATCCTGTATATGATTGTACAAAGCACTATGTTCACGTTTAATAAAAGAATGACCAAGGCGGAGACGCCGAAAAACAAAGTCTGTGTTTTGGTTCCTCAGCACGTGAGATTCTTCAAATCAAGAAGCTACTTTGCGACTGAAACGACTGAGCTCGACAACGTTGATGGCTTACTCTTGAATCCAGTTGGATTTTGAATATTTCAGTTCCCACTGAAGATGTTGCTATCACATTATGTTAATAAATATCCTTTAAGAAGGAACGGTTGCATCGTTTGAGGGAATAAATCTCTTTACAGAGTTTCAATCACTCCACCAGACGTCAGCGCTTAGTTTTAATAGATGTTTAAAAATAATTCAGCTACTTACAGATACGATATGTTTCATTTGATAAAATAGGGATTCGCTGGACAAAATTAAATCGGTCGAAGTTTATCTGCCCTGGAGGGAAATTAAATTATTAAGTTGTAAAAGAAATTTGGACCACGTTTTCGTGAACACCAGCGAATGGGTAGTTCAAGGAAACCACAGCGGCGCGTTTGGCCTCTAGTTTATTTAGCTTCAACGAGGACAGGATTGTTGCCCCGTTGTATTGCGCAACTAAAGATAAAGAAAGCCGCAACATCTTACGAAATCTCCAATGTCAGTCGACAAGACAAATGTTTCTTTCGTGCAGCACAGAGAAGGAGAGAACAGCTCGCCCGGCTGCGTAAGCAGCACAAAAAGCCTGTAGACAGGAGCGAGCTAGCGATACTCCGATCTTTTGTTCCAGGGTTGAAAAGCTCTTTGCGCAATATGGTTGGCCTCCCCAGTGCGTGTAAAGTTCTCCCAGCGGGGAGATGCAGCGAAAAGATAACAATATCGCTTCTGTAACATCCTCCGAAACCGGAAGTCATCTTGACACAATGGATGTTGAGCATAACTACTTCCGGCTTGCATGAGAAAACGCGCGAAAGCAAGCGGTAATCAGTACACGATCAGGGTCACGCGTGAATTTGTTACTAGCTTCTGCTTGTTTTTATTTATGCCCGCAATTAAATGCAACGAGGATGCTTCTGCCGTCTTTACTCATCTGTTTTGTAAGCTCTGGTAACATTATAAGCACGTATAGACACTCAAAAAAGCGTTTTCGCGTTAGGATAAAAATTTCTAGTCTAGACTTGACGTTTGCAACAAGACGTTTCGTTGGAGTAATGTTTATTTCCGCATTTTTTTTAAATTGTTTTCCCCTTTATGGTCAACTTTGGTGTAGACGCCATGTACAATTCCTGCTTTGCTCTTTTATACTGAAATTAACGTTCTAAAAAGTGTTCCGGTAAAAGTTAAAATGTTTTCACAACATAAAACAAAAATTTTCGCGTGTAAAATATGCTTCCCACGGTCCAGTCGGTGCTTAATATAAGGACAAAAATTATATATTTTGGCTTTAAAAAAGCGACGACCAGTTGTCCTCTTCGACGAGTTTCCGTATGACGAATGGGCAACCGACGAGTTGGCCGTCGGCGAGTTGACTCTCAAAGAGTTGACCTAGACCCGTCTCCCGTATGGGAGACGAAACGCCTGATTAAATTGTTATTTGTGTTATGTAAAGTCATTGTCGTTTGTGTAATCAAACAAAATGGAGTGTGGACCAAGTACTATACTCCGTTCACATTTAAACTGAGACTGGAAGCTCTGCCTTCAGCGCGAGCTTCCAGCCCTTGCTAACGCGAGCCCTCGCTAACGCAAGTGTGAACGTGCGTGCACGCGCAATATACATATATATATTTACATTGTTTTTGCTAGATGAAGGCACAGTCTACAGACGGGAACTCGGCGTCCACTGACCTGAGTAGAAATCAAGCGCGGGTTGGTAGTATGCTTTCCGGCGGTAGCCAAACTGCGGCTCTTTGAGGGTTCAAGAGCGGCTCACAACTCCCTAGTAAGCGCCCCCCCCCCCTCCCCGCCTTCCCCTCCTGCGCCTTCAAAACGCAAAAGGTTCTAGAATTAAAAAAGAAAAGCTCACAGTCTTGACAGCCTTGCACTACGCTACGTACATGCAGCTGGACAGCATTTTGACACCATGATGTGTCCAGTGACCCTGTTTCCTTTATTGTTCTATAAAGAATTTCGAAGCGCATACGCATAACGGGCGTCAGGGGCGGTGACTGGCTAATTCATTTTTCATTTTTGCTTAGCCGTTGAAGAAACGTTCTGCTGTCTGGTGTTATTTTTTGTAGTCGACAGGTACACTTGACCCCTTTGGAAAGGAGCATGCGGAACGCCAGTTCTCCTGCTTCTTGCACAGGTCTTCCAGTGACGTCAGAACGACGCCGAGCTCTTATTGGCTGATCGAGAAAAAAAAAATTGTGGATAGACGTCAAGCATTGAAACATTGAGGTCTACCCACTATCCTTTCAATGAAAGACAGACCGACACGCCGGCTTGAGCCGGGGGGTGTGGGCAAAAGGGCGCACGTTTCGCATGGGCGTCATAGCATTTCAGCATGCCGCGAAGCTGTGTTGCCGTTAGTTGCGCCGAAAGGTACAAGAAAAGTAGCGGAGAGAGCATCTACAAGTTCCCGGCAGACTCTGAAAGGCATAGAAGGTGGATAATAAACGTGGATCGAAAATTATGGTCGCCTCGCGTGAACGACCGTTTGTGCGGCAAGCACTTTCTTGGAGGCAAGTGCGGCTTCCATTTCAATCTCCGTCCCGAGGCTTGCTTATGTGCAGGGAAACCGTCGTCTGATCGAGACCACCCGGATTTGGTTCCCATGGTGTTCGCGAACAAAGCACCGGCCAAGCGCTCGTCGGAGGCTCGCTACGCCCCTGCTACCCAGCCGAAGGGGATCGGCGACAGAACGGCAGTGTTGTAGGCGTTACCGAAAAAAAGTAACGAAATACGTTACTCGTTACCTGTAAATTAAAGGTACGCGTTACTGAGCTACGTTGCCTAAAAATAAAAGGAACGCGTTACCGCTACCGATAGAAAGTAACGCACGTTACTCCTGCTTTACTTTTTAAATTATGATTTAACACGTTTTACGGTTTTGACGATGCAGGTATGCATAAGCCGATATATCAAGAAACATTATGTTCATGCAGAAACTGAACATAATTACTTTGTCTTTTTTTACGGTTTCACCTAAATACTGACGAGAAAAAAACGCAAAGAAAAACATGGCTTGACGCCTAAAAACACGGAAAAACTTGGGGTGTAATTGTAGTAACGAGTAACGTAACTACGTTACTTGAAGCAGTAACGTAAGTACGTTACCCATTACTGTGTCGAAAAAGTAACAAGCAGGTTACTACGTTACTGAAAAAAGTAACGCGCTCCTGGTAACGCTGCTACTTTAACGTGTTACCGCCAAGACTGCAGAACGGATAAAGCGTTACTGCTTGTCATGCCTTGTGGTCGTGAGAGTAGGAAAAATAGCATACCTTGACTTGAAGACGCTGTGTGTATTTATTTAATTAATAAATACACATCCACAGACACACAGTCTGCTGATCCCGCCGGCAGTGCGGAAACCGACTCGAAGTAATCGTAGGCCTCTAGAGACTTGTACGCCTGGACCGCGTCGGCCGTGAACTGGATTGGCGAAAGAACTAAATAAACGACGACGTGAGCCGTCGACTTCGGTGGCAGCTACTTCACGTCGGAAGTCCAGCAGGCCTTGTTTACGGCGTACGGACCCTCGAAGGCAACGCCGTACACTCAGTTTGTTTCGATACCGCCGCCGTTCAGGCTCGGGTAGCAAGCTCAAATAGTGGCAAAACATACGACTTACGTTGCCAGGAACTACGGCTCACAAATAAAGCTAGAAGCGTCCGTACAACGTCAACAACGAGCGCACGCCACTCAACACAATGGCGAAAACACGGAGAGCCGGGTCGGTTTCGCCCACATAGCTACCGCGCATGCGCGGCCTTCCGGCCGTGTTGGTTAAATAGGGCCGCTCCGCGTGTCGGTCTATAGCGCTTCTTGCTAAGAGCACTCCCCCCCCCCCCCCCCCCGCCCCCCCCCCCTTTTTTTTTTTTTTCTGCGGCTTTTTGATTTTTTTAGTTTTTTTTATGCGGCTTTAGCTCCATGTCACTCTGGCCGCCCCTGCGATATACTGTAGTCACACACATACGTCCTACTATCATGTAAACAACAGCTGTCAGGACCAATTGCGGTCGACCACAGTTAAAACCCATTCACACGGCAGTTTTTAGCAACACCCGACTGCGTTTTGGGAGCTTCCGTAACACCACCTAGAATGGTCAAAGCCGGTGCACTAGCATTTCGATGTCATCAAAGTGAGATCGAGCGCAGACACAAACTGGAACCGGACGCTGTGCCAGCATTCTGCCGGACCTCGTGTACATTCAACGCGTTGAAGGACTTTCGGCGTCGGACTCGTGCCCGATTGCTGCTGAGTTGGTTCCATCCTATAGGGTGACGCCGTTACGGGGGGTAAGGGGGTTAGGTTTTCATTATTCTAGGTGGTCTTGTCTTACGTTGAGTTATACTACCGCGAGTTACCGTGCCAATTAAGTGCTGCGTCGCTTGATTGCATAGTAACTCGCATTCGTATCTCGACTTAAGCCCACCTTGTCCAGCGATGCTGCTAAAATGGTCTTTGACCAACACCTCCAAGACTTTTAGGCCAGAGTGCTGAATTTTCGGCGTCACACAGAGGATGCCAACGCGGGCGCAGATTAAACACGAGAAAGCTGCGTCAGCGATCGGCTGGCGTAATCTGCAGCATCGCCAACGACGGCCAGCATAGCGAACCGCTCACTTTTTCAGAATGCTGGGTGAAGCATTTAGAAACTAGAGTGCTGAGGGTGCACGTTGACGGTCCAGAGATGCCATTGAAACAATCAAGACAGGTCGTGAGACGGGGATTCGAGGCAGTCATCTTCATCATAAAAAGATCTAATTGTTTCTCGAAATGTATGTCAGGAAAAAAAAACTTCTTTTGATTCGCTTTCAGTTTTCTCGGTAAGTGTTAAACCTGCAAC